GGCATATCTATCTTCCCCTCCAGACTGGTGACTCCAGACTTTTGTGGATCTCTTGAATTTAAATGATTTTATTTCCCCGTTGTGACTCAGAACTATGGACAGGAGATATCTTCTTCCGAGTTTTACGTACGTTTTCATACTCTTCTAGCATTTCTGCTAATTTATCTGGAGTCGTTATCTTCAACCATTCTTCAATAAAGTGCTGCCACACTTTGATATTAAAGCATCAAAAGCATTTTACACAAAGCCCTCTCCTCATTTTTTTAAAAACCTGGAAAGAGAATAATTAGTTCCTTATGGCCCGAAACCACACTAGGGGGTTTCCGCTATACCTTTCTTCAAAGTTCTGCTGTCCATTTTGTCTCTGAACAAAACAGGAAGTCTGAGGGTGCATATGTCTTATCGTCACACTATCTTTGGATTTCTTAACAGCAAACGGTGAGATTTTTTACGGGGTGGGGTAGTTAGCCCCACCCCCAACCTGGAGGACCAGTCCCCTGATACCCCAGAGGCAGTGTGCCCGGCTACACCCCCAGATGCTGGGTACCCATTTTAGTCACCTTTTATGACATGCATGAGCTACATTGGGACTATTCTTTCACACTCGGTCACCACACGGCTGGAAAATGTCCTATTAATGCATTAAAATTTTATTTGTTTGAGTGTTTAAACTGTATAAAAAATATACATAAATAACATCGCATAACCATTGACTAAAAAATTAAATTAAAATTTTTAATTTGTAGATGTCATCTATATTTTTGTGATTAAATTTATCTTTTTTAGAATCAATAAGATTAAAAACACAGCAAAATTGATTTTATGCTTTGCATTAATAGTTATTTTGTAGCTGGAAGACATATTTGGAATTAGAAACATCTTTTGTTAATTATGCTAGGAATATAAATGTTTATAAAAACATTAAATACATATATGACAAACTATACCACTGAGATAATTTACAAAAGCAGGATAGCAGTTATTAAAAAGACATAATATTCATATTGCTCAGTTTGTTACACTAATAAAAAATGTACTCATTTAAAGATAAATTATATATTTTATGCCTTAGAGATGGCAAAACACTAGAAATAGTTAATGCTTGACTATATCTGCAATTTCATTAGCAGTGAAAGACAATTTTTGAATTTAATAAATCAAAACTGGACTGGAGGATACATAATTATGAAAAACTGATGCAACTTGAAATTAATTAATGTATTTTTAAACAATGATTTAAATTGAAAAATTAGCAGATATACCATATAACTTAAGAAATTATGCACATTATAATTATGTCATAACAATAAAATGACATAACAAACCGGCAAAAAAGGAGCTGATTTTGCACAATGAGAGTGCAAGACGCAAGGCTCACACTTCTGACTGCTATTCACTAATACGGATTTCGGCTTTTACTCATTATACTATAAGTCCCCACACATGGCATTTTTGTTTCAAAAAACTGAAGCAGCATTTAAGTGATGATGATAATTTAAAGGATGGCATTCAGAAATGGCTGAAAGCCTATGATAAAAAAAAAAAAAAAAAAAAAAAAAAAAAAACTTCTTCAACGCTAGAATCTAAAGCTTAAACAGATTATTGTGTTAAATATAATAAACAAGTTTGTTTCACACAGTGTGATAATGATGCTGGCAATGACAACGATGTCTACAATCTAAATAAAGTTCACATTATGATTGTTAAAGTAATAATCTGAATACATTAAACGTTCCTTTAAATACCCAATATTGAAGTCCCTACCAGGTTATTAATTAGGCTGGGGAAAAAAACTGCAACTTTAATGTGCTTTTAAATACCCAATATTGAAGTCCCTACCAGGTTATTAATTAGGCTGGGGAAAAAAAACTGCAACTTTAATGTGCAAAATTAATTAATGTATTTTTAAACAATGATTTAAAATGAAAAATTAGCAGATATACCATATAACTTAAGAAATTATGCACATTATAATTATGTCATAACAATAAAATGACATAACAAACCGGCAAAAAAGGAGCTGATTTTGCACAATGAGAGTGCAAGACGCAAGGCTCACACTTCTGACTGCTATTCACTAATACAGATTTCGGCTTTTACTCATTATACTATAAGTCCCCACACATGGCATTTTTGTTTCAAAAAACTGAAGCAGCATTTCAGTGATGATGATAATTTAAAGGATGGCATTCAGAAATGGCTGAAAGCCTATGATAAAAAAAAAAAAAAAAAAAAAAAAAAAAAAAAAAAAACTTCTTCAACGCTAGAATCTAAAGCTTAAACAGATTATTGTGTTAAATATAATAAACAAGTTTGTTTCACACAGTGTGATAATGATGCTGGCAATGACAACGATGTCTACAATCTAAATAAAGTTCACATTATGATTGTTAAAGTAATAATCTGAATACATTAAACGTTCCTTTAAATACCCAATATTGAAGTCCCTACCAGGTTATTAATTAGGCTGGGGAAAAAAACTGCAACTTTAATGTGTTTGTGGTTAAATTAATAAAAGCAAAATTATATTCTTGGTATGTGATTATGAATTAAAATCTCACAATTTCTCTGAAACAAATTTATTTCTCCAGATATTCTTGCGGCAGCTAAAAAGTTACCTTTTAAATCTCTTTCTTTTATATCAAGAAGTGCTTGTTTTTCTTGAAAAGCAGTCTGTGTCTTTTTTTCCACTTTGGTCTGCAGTGAAGCTAATTCTGAAGCTCTTGCTTCTAGCTGTTCTGTTAAATGCTGAAGTGATCTAGAGAATTTTTGAAAAAAAAAAAGTCATATTCATAATACACAATTTGATAATTTTTTAAGTGATAAATTCCACAGAGTATAAAATCTAGCAAAATAAATTTAAAGATTTTTTCTAATAGGTGTTAAATTTTAAACCCTGAGTACAAACCTTGAGTGAGACTGAGTACTTAAAACAGCTTCTATTTCTTGTTCTTTTAATCTTTTAAGTCGTTGTAAAGCATCTTCATGGTCTTGCTTCATAGCACTAATTGCCTGACTAATTTCAAAGATGATATAAAAATTGAAATTTTTTTACCAATAAAGGCATTATTTTAATGAAGTTTCATTTAAAAAATAAACTTAACATACATATAACATGCATTCATATATAAATATGATGTTATAATGCTGATGCATATAGCTAAGCACACACACACATATATATATGTTAGAATTATGAATAAACATAAGTAAGAAGCAATTCAAATCCTTATCCAATTATATGCTTATAGCTAGAACTGGGGGTAATATTGTAAAGAAAAAAAAATTAGACATCGTTTTTAGATGATAATGGTTTCAGCGACAAACTTGTAAAAAATAGTAAAAAGCATTTGTGATATGTCAAAAGTCCATGTACATCTTAGCACTAATATGTAAATCATAACAAATTAACTTTAATAGGCCATTTGTACTAAATTTTGAAACTTTAGTTAACTGTTATATAATAACAAATAATGACATTTCTCATACAAGAATGAAAGGAAAAATATTAAGAGAGCAACCAACCAGATAACTTTCTAATAATTGCAAAGAGAAGGTAACTTTCTTATTTTTTAATTACAAGTAGATAAATGTATTCATAAATCTATTCATTTAGGTACCAATCTAAACATGAATTTCATTGATAAATGAATGATATCATCAGACTATTGTGGCTCAGTGTGGAAAAAAATGTCATGCAAAGAAAATGATTTATTGAAAAAAATTATTTATGCAGAACATTTTTGCACTGCTCATATGTGCAATATGCTCAAGGAAAATAAATCTCCTCAAAACTCTCTTACACAGAAGGTCTCCATGAAAGCATCCCTTGCCTTAGGCAGATAACTCTTGTGTGCTTAAACAAGCAAACAGTCTTCAGCAAAAATGAATAAATAAACATGGAAATGAACTTAGTCATTTGAAAACTTTGAAAATATATTGTTATTTCTTATATGAAAGTATTATTTACATGTAGGTATATAAATAAAATTCTGAAAGCTTTCAGATTTTAAATTAGGCTGAAACAGTGTTTTATTTTTTTACTTTACAGACACATACACACTTCAAGAGCATTTCGTCTAATGTCACACTGTGCTAAAAATATTTAAAAACAGCATATCTTTAGAATTTCCAATAAATAGTCTTGTGTGCTAGAGATAAAAATGTTTTATGCCCTACAGTGTTGCCACTGCTTGCTTTGAAATTGTTGAGCTCTTTAATGAAAAATTCGTTAAAGTTTTACAAAATGTGAAAGAGAAAATAAAACAAATTCCATATTTGCGCTTCCAGGTGCAGGACTATGTTATTCAAAATTTGATAACTCTAGGTACTGCTGTTTTTTCAGAATGCAAGAAATATACATACATTCAAATAGATTCTTTATTATTTAGTTTCTTTAAATATAATACAGGATGATAACTTTTGATGGCAACAATTTGAAAATTGATTCTGCCATTTAAAGTCCTTTGACACAAAATGCTGTTTTGAGACTAATAGCCTTTCCGGGCTAATGCCCATTTGAGCTAAAAATGTGAGTACTGTTGAGCAGGGGTTCAGCGGAAAAATGTTGAAAATTATTAAATAAAGAAAAATGTTGAAAATTAATATTTAGCAATAATCCCTTTCTTTGCATCAAATGATATTTCTTCTCAGACTCAGCCATAATATTCTGATGATATCACTCATTTATAAGTAAAATTCATGTTTAAATTGGTATCTAAAAGACTTGATCTAAGAATGCATTAATGTAATCAACAGATTAGAAAGTTACCTAGCTCTTTGTGATTATAAGAAAGTTATATAGTAGTTTGCTCTCTTAATCTTATTTAATTAGTTCTTACATAAGAAAAGTCATTATTTATTATTATATAACAGTTAACTGAAAAAGTTTCAAAATTTATTGCAAATGGTCTATTAATCAGTTATGATTTACATATTAGTGCTGTATATAAGGTGTATGTGAACTTTTCAAGTACCACACAGTTTTTTTTATTACTTTCTACATTTTTATCACCAAAACACTAAATTCTTTTATGTGTCACCCTAATATGTGAGTCAAAGCTTTAAAAATTTTTATGTGTCATCTTAATATGTGAGCTAAGCTTCAATGCATTAAGATGTACATGGGTTAGTTAACCCTCTGCATGCTGAGGAACATACATGTGTAACTTGATGCAGTGCACAATGATATGTACAAGAGCACATGCAATGCACAATAATACAAATGACAATGCACTGCAGAGTTTCCTCAAATTCTTTATGGTATGTTAATTCTTTTTAAATGCAGGCTTAACAGTACTCACATTTTGATATATCTACATGTAAGCAGATATACAATAAAAGAACCTATCTTCAAAGTTTTCAAATAATTAAGTTCATTTGCTTGTTTATTTATTTATATTTATCCAGTCAGATAATATGCACTCTTATTTTTAAAGTTAGAAAAAATAGAGGTCAAACAAACATGCCATTTTTCAACGCAGTCTCCTTCCTTTACAATGTACTTAATTTTAGTTGTCCACAAGCTTGCATATTTCTTTCAAGAAGGTAGTTTTCAGTTGGTCTTGCAACTATTTATGCACTGCTTCAAACACTTCTTTTTCTACAGAAAATCAGCAATCTTGTAAAGCACCTGCAAACAGTCCAGAAAGATGACAGTCACAAAAAGGACAAATTCTGTATGATGAGAGGGTGTTTCAGCTCCTGAAAATACAAATGGTTAATAGTTTCAATGATCTTGTGCTTTGTAGTAAGCTCTCTTGGCACTCATCTTGCACTGATTTTAATGAGACTGAATTCATCATTGATGATTTAGGAGGCAGAGCCATGACTAATCTGCAGAAAATGTTACCTCAGTGATGGCAACTTGTCATTTTGTGTCTGGTCACTTTCAAATTTCTTGATCCCATCATATACACTTCTACATAACATGGAACTGCTCCCAAATTATGTTGAAAGCTTTGTTGAATTTCAGTCGCTGTTATGGCTTACAACCTGTGAAATAAGATCTTTGCTCTTTGTTCTTCTGTAATATATGCTGGTAGCAAAGAGGCCATGTTTACATTATTACAGTAGCAAAGAAGATAATTGATCAAGATCAAACTTTGATTACATGCCTACAAGAATACCAGTTTTAAACATGCCTATGTAGAAGACAGTGTGACAAATTTAAAGATGTATTATGGTCAGTACTTAATTTATAAAATTAGAAGTGTCAGAGGTCTATGGAAATCCATCAAGAAACGAAACAAAAATTAATTAAAAAATATTACACTCAAAATTATTCACTATTACACTCCAAAAGGATATTTTTTAGCTTTTGTGTTACCTTTATTAAATATCATGTTCTTCGCATTTAAACCACATTCAATTCAACAGCAATAAGCAACAGCAATAAAAAATTCAATTCAACAGCAATATCACAAAATATTTTAAAATAGCATATCCTTAGTATTTCTGATACACAGTCTCGCACACTGGAGATAAAAATGTTTTTTTTTTCCATACAGTGTTGCCACTGCTCGCTTTGAAATCGTTGAGTTTGTTTATCAAAAATTCGTAAAAGTTTCACAAATTTCAAATAGATAATAAAACAAATTTGGATTAAAAAATTTGGGCTTTGAAATGCCCATGTTTGGTTGGAGGGCTACTTTATTCAAAATTTGATGCCTCTAGGTATTGTTTCCCTTCCACACAATGCAAGAAACATTCATCTGTTCATGCAGATTTCTTATTATTTAGTTTCTTTAATTATAATATACGGCGATAAAATTTGGTGTCAGCAGTTTGAAAAGATAACCAACACAGAAAGTGAAATGATGCAAAATGCAGTTTTAACAGTAATGACCCTTTGGGCTAAAAAAAATCTGAAAGCTATCAGATTTTATATTATGCCCAAAGGGGTGTCTTTTTAAAGTTTTTTGTGCTATCTTTGTTTATTAAATATCATGCTCTTTACACTTAAACCACATAAAACTCAATTCAATAGCCGTATCACAAAATATTTAAAACCAGCATACCTTTAGAATTTTTTATATGCAAACTCACATGCTGGAGATTAAAAATGTTTTTCCCCGTACTGTATTGCCAAATCATTGAGCTTGTTAATCAAAAATTCATTACAAAATGTTAAGTTTTACAAAATGTTAAATAGATAATAAAAGAAATTCAAAATCTGGGCTTCCAGGTTTCGATGTTCGGATGGAGGTATACATTATTCAAAATTTCATGCTTCTAGGTACCCTTGTTTTTTTTACAATGTGACAAACATACATACATTCATGCAGATCCTTCATTATTTAATTTTCTTTAAATATGTATAATACAGTCCTATTTGATGGCAACAATTTGAAAAGTGATTCAACACAAAATGCCATTTTGAGACTAATAAACCTTCTGGGATGATGCCCATTTCGGCTAATAAATAACAAAATAATTATAATTAAAATGCAAGTCAGAGTATTGTTCCAGCTGAATTTAAGCCATGAATATACAGTGCAGTCAAACGTCGTTAATTCGGACACCCATAATCCGGAATGATCTATAATCCGGACCTCAAAGCTACAAACTTTCTGCGCATGCGTCGCATTGACCTTTATGGCTGCGAATATGCGTGTGCGCATGTGCAAAATACGTTTACAAAATGCGCGTTTAATGTATAACGAACGGTATAAGCTAAGCTAAAATTATCTAATTCAGTTAATGTTGCAGATTGCGTTGTTCCTTAATCTTCGAATTGGATATTATTTGATTATTATTTTTTGCAGACTGTTAGAGCAATTTTATAAAAGTAAGCTTGAACTTTCGATTATGTCAAATAGAATTTCTGATATATATTTACTAATATGTAAAGGATCTACAAAGAGAAAGTATGTTTCGAAGTCCATTAAACAAAAAGTGGAATTGCTGCAAAAAATGGATAAAGGCATATCCTTTGTTTATCTAACCATTCCAAAATCTGTTTATCAATTTCCCGCTGCTCTGCGTGTGTGTGTGGGGGGGGGAACATCGCGCCGCACAATGAACTGGAAGTTGATCTGCCAGCATTATCCTTATCTTCAGGGCAGATGTTTTTACGTTATTTGGCTTAATTCTTTACTAAACGTAGTATTTCATCTCGATGTACTCCGTCTTTGATATGATTTAAATCAAATTCCTCGTCATTATAATTCGCTTCCGATAGAAGAAAGTGACACAGAGTTTATTGAAAACGAAAAAATTTCGATTGACAAATTAGTCGGTATTCTCGACATAAGCAATTATAGGACTTGAACAGCGGAACTTTGTAACTGAACAAGAAATTATGTCTGTTTATAGAATTAAAGAGAAAGTATTATCACATAAAAAATGAAGCAACTTAAACAACTTACATTGAAAGAAATGTTTAATAAAGTAAACAAATAAATATTAAGCTCTTTTTTTGTAAATTTTGATACCCTTTAGATCATAATTGTTCTTTATTTCATAAATTACGGTTTCATATTTTTAATTTTATAATTTCTGCATGCTACCTTATCAGATTTAAACTGATGATCTATAATCCGGGAAAATCGATAATCCGGAATCGCTGAAGTCCCGACGAGTCCGGATTAACGACTTTTGACTGTAGAATGTACTATTCCAAGGGATGGTAGAAACCAAGATCATTCTCTATCCAGCACACCAATGAAAAAAGATAATGTGTGACACACGATTTTAGAAAGGCAGCCAGAAATAGTATAAGACTATAGAAAGTTTTTTTTTTTTTTTTTTTACTTTTTATTTTAATTAAAAATTTTTTAAATATGAAAAAAGACATAAGATTCAAAATAGAAACAGTTATGCATTCAGAAGTTAGAATCAATTTTTAAGATTGATTTATTACTAAAATAAAATTTTATGAGATCAAAAGAATTTCCTGGTGAAACTCTGGTTAAGAAAAACTGCAGTCTCTCTTATTTAAGGCTCCAGTGTGTTCCACTTAGAATTACAATTTATCCCTAAAACTGAGATGTACGGGAGCAGGCCTCCAGCACAACTTATGCTCTCATTATGTCAAATGTGTAGATAATTTTTTACTTATCCTCATAATGCTATATTAATTAAGCCACAAATTAAGATTGACACAAATATATAAACTGATATTATAGAATCCACATACATTTAGAATCAATATCTTAACATTTATGTTTTGCTAATGAAGACAATTTTATGTTAAATATTTTAAAAGATAAAATTTTAATGTATGGCATTTCTTATAATCACAGGAAAAACTTTAACAAAATTAAAGGGAGTCCCCAAAAATTAATTTATTATATTTTTGTAATATTTTACCTATGCAAATCCTTTAGTCTTTGAATTTCTTTTTGATGTTCTTTCTCAATAGTTTCTAATTTTCCTTTGACATTGGATTCAAGCTCTTTCTTTTCACCCTGAACTGTTTTCAGTCTCTCTTCTAATGCTTGAATTTTAGCTTCAAATTCCTTTCTGAGACTGCCAAGAATTTACCTTATTTTATTATAGAACATTATATTAATTTATTAAATTTAAGTGGAAATAGTAAAAGAAGATACCTTATTTCTAAGTTTTTGTGTGTTTCCTCAGATGATTTCATCTTATCACTATAAACAAATAAGACATATTCAAAATTAAGCACAATATATCAATTATTTGAATGTATTAAAACTGCAAATATATTATTAAAATCACAATAAAAGTTGCTCCTCACTTTTCCTACTTAAATAAATAAATATTTAAAAATAAATTCATAAATAATCTAATTCTAAAAAACAAAATTTGAATCATGCATATGATAAAACTGATCAGTGTGTGTCTATCTGTACTAGCGTAGCGTCTGTGTAAAATAAAAACCATGCCATATTACAAAATTAAAAATTTAATTAAAATTGTAATTTAAAATTTAAAAACTTTATGTTAAAATTCTAGGCAGTTAAGAATTTTGACTGACAGAAAACAAGTAAATAAATAATAAAAAAAAAAATACTCAGATTTTTACCATTTTGTATGATAAAATAATTTAAATTGTTTCACTAAGTAATCCTAATTTAAAACTCTCTCTCTACATCATTAAAACTCGCATATTTTACATTTTTTTCTTTCTTAGCTTTCTTTGTAAACTGTAAAATTAAAACTGAACTTTCTGTAATCAAAATCCTAGTCAAATGATCAGTTAGCAATCTTGCTTAATCAATCTAATTTAACAATTTTACTACCCTATAATGAAAATTAACCTAATGACCTCACTAACTACAAATCTATTTATTTCTTATCAAAATAGCATGCAGTTCTCTATTCTGTAACATTATTATCCCTATGCAGGAAAAAGATGGCTACAGATTATATTTCCTTAAATACTGATCTAGAACATGTACTTTCAGGTAGCTTCCAAAAACAATATAGAAAACAGTTTTAAGATAGCAGCTAGAAACATTTTAAGTTTTTAATATGATGTCAATAAAGCATTAATTCTAACTATTAAAATAGTTATTGTGCTTTATTAAGTGAAATTTCAAAAGTTTCATGCCTTTGTATTCAAAGTTTTCAAAAATATATTAATATTTTCATACACCAATTAAAAATTTAATACCGTGGATTGTCTGGGAGGAATATGCTATGCTTCTAACATTATTCATATCAAAATACCACAATGAATTCTCAGTCAATTTAAGATTTTTTAATAATCACAGTTAATGACATGAATAAAAATCATTAAAAATAAATAATAAGTACTGTGTTATCATGTGTACACACAATAAAAAATCAGAGTATACTTTCTTTTCCTTTTTTATAAAAATTTATACTATAGACTTCTATTTATAGATTCAATACTTATGCATTAGCACAACTACCTTAATAGAATTAGTCAAATTTTCAGAATGCACCAACTCTGAGAACCATGTGCATAACAGTTCTTCAGTTTTAACAAGTAACTTCATCATTTCTATACACATTCTTTTTTATGTATCCAAGTTCCAATAGTTTTTATAGACAAAGCATGATATTTTTTGTCTAAAACTCAACTTTAAGATATGCACTTCAGGGATTTACCTTTGGAGAAAGAAACTGCAGTAAAAATTTTTGCAGGTATTGATTATTTTGTCATAACAATGATAAAGAGGAACAAATCTATTCTTAAAATAATCATCACAAAATTTCCACTAGTTCAAAAGAAGTAAACAATTGCTTTTAAGTAGGTTTATTGATTGATTTTTGAGATCAATAATTAAAATACATATGAGATAAAATACTTTCATTTAAAATAAAATAATCCCTTTTAATTTGATTATTTCCTCTTTCCATCCTAAAAATAGTAACATGCTTATAACAAAGTTCTGTAAATTGCATCATCTTAAAATTAGTCTTTGCCATGACTTTAATGTAACCCTACTGATGCAGGTACTTTAAGTTTCAGCCACAAAACTTGCAAACTGAAATCTAAATTAACCAAATGGAATAAAAGCAAACCAAAAATGAATCATTCTTAAACTTTTGAAATGTAATTTTCATAATCTTTCCCTGGCTTGGTACCTCTGCTGCTATTTCTTTCTTCAAATATATTTAACAAAATGCAAAAAGTACCAGTGTAACTAACTAATCAAGATCTCAATTTCGTGTCAAAAATATTTATCTACAACAACAACAACAAAAAAAAAAAAGTTAAACTAGCCATATCTTCCTGAATCAGCTTTCATCATTAACCTTTTCGCGACGGCGCACCTTTGTTCAAGACGTTCGTGCGGGACGGAAAGCAATCGAAGGCAGTCACCGTACAGGACAGAGGTTTTGCATCGCTAAGCCTAATTTTATAATAATAATAATAATAATAATAATAATAATAAAAAAAAAAAAAAAAAAAAAAAAAAAAAAAAAAAAAAAAAAAAAGATCAGGAAAAAAAAAGTTTCATTTCTAGCATTGTAATTTTTTTTGTATTCTTTTAGAATATTATTTGAGCTTTTATATACCTTAAAATTAGCACTTAATAACATTTTTTTTATTTTTTATTTTTTTTTATTTTACATGAAAATGTACTTAAAAAATTGCTTGTCTTGTAAAATAATTTTCGGAAGCGCTATCGAAATTATTGAAAGTCTTAATAGATAAAATCCATCAGTAAAGTTTTAAATTAATAAAACACTATTTACAGTAAGAAATAATAAAATTTAAAATGAAGACTGTGTTAAATCTCGAAGTACGGAGAAGTATCACTTTCTAACTCTTTAGAAAATGAATCATCACTCTCATCTGCGTTAATAAATGGTTAATTGACCATACAAGGGTATTCTTCCTCTGATAAATAGCGCCTTTCCGCTATAATAGACTGGAGGTGAGGCTTTCCGAAATAAAAAGAGCAGAAACGGAAATATATCTGAAGGGCAATGCAAAACGTAACAGTACTCCACATACTAACCCTAAAAGACTGTATATAGTAAAGGAAAAAATAGAATAAAAAAAGGAATTGGATGTAAATCAGACACGCAAATGTTTTCATTAGCACGCAGCAATTTAAAGAGCTCACCTCTGTTTACGTTTTCCCTCCCCTCCACCTTCAAAAGAGCTGACGAGTAAAATACCAAAGTCAAGCAGAATATATCAAACACAAGGTCAGGAACTTAAAACTGTGTGCATTTCAAAAGTAATGGACATAGGATGCCATCTAGTGGCCTTCAGAAAAAGGTTCCAGCTTACAATGTGCATACGCATCACGCGTCCTCTGAATGCAATCTCTAGCGATGCGTGGATGGGACGCCCGGCTGTAAGAGACGTTCTTAAGGAATGTGTATATGGGAAGCCCGTCCTGAAAGGGTTAACATCTACAGTATTATAAAAAAGAATATCATTACACATAAATGTAACTGAAGTCACTTTTTCCTCTAATTATAAGTCACCATTATTATTATTATTTTTTTCCGTAAAAGTTCCAAAACACAGCAAGGTACTTACACATAGTTATCAAAAATTCTCCCACATTTCATACATGCATTTGACTATAACCTATAAAAATGCTAATGCTCTACCTTTAAACTTTTAAATAAATTATTAAAATGAAATTAAAAGTTGCTTTCCTTACATTCTCAACTAAAAATGTTTTCAACATTAAAATCTTGGAGATACATGTTTCATAAACTGAATTGCTTCACGCTATTGTCTTTAACCTTCCAGCACGTGCGTATGCGCAAAACTTACGACAAACTCAGTTTTGCATTGCATTTCCATCTTACTAACATAAGAACTTTTACTATTTGAATGCGATATCATTTGTATTTTGCAATAATAAGATTAATATTTTATTTCTTAACAAATTCATTATCAATATTCACTCATTTGTGTCATTTTTCGTGCCCAAAACGGTAAAACAACGGATGTCGTTTAAAATCCGACGCTCGCGTGCTCATGTAAAATTGCCAAGCGTGCGTGCTGGAAGGTTAAATTCAGTTTTTCATCCATAAGAAATAACATATCAATTTGAATTTAAGATGCCATCACATATAATATGCTCCTACATTTTTATAAAATGAATATACTTTTCAGAAGAACATTTTAATGGATGAGCGAGGGTAAATTGTCCTAAGATAGAATTAATGAGTTAATTTCATTATAGCAGTGAAAAAATGACAGTTTTGCTTAAATAGTTTTTTAAAATTAAGATCTCACTTCAGATATCATACAGACAAAATCATTAAATTTTCTTTTCTTCAGTTTGAGAACTTAAAACATGAGCTGTCATTAATATGAGGTTGATATTTTCAGTTCTACATAGAATCTCTTTAAAATTACCTGATAGTTTAGAATACTTTTGAAATTTTCTTCTTCTTCAATGGCCAGACAGCCCAGGATGGGCCCCTGCCTTCCTCAGAATCGAATTCCAAGCTCTTCTATCCCTGGCCACGGACATCCAATTGGTTATTTTTAACATTCTTAAGTTTGTTTCCAAACAGTCGAGCCACCTAAGTTTAGGTCTCCCTCTTTTTCGAGTGCCGAATTTTCTGGACGAGAAATTCTTTTTAGTTAATCGATTTTCATCCATTCTGCACAGGTGTCTTGCCCATTTAATTCTCTGAATCCAAACTTCTTCTTAGTTCCAAACTGATTCTATGAGGTAGTTTATTTCCTCAATGTTTTGACCTAGAGCACTTTTAATGAGTTCTGAAGTAATTAAGTCAGGGCCTGGGGCCTTGTTATTTTTGAGCTTTTTAATTCCTTCTCTAACTTCTGCCAAAAATGGTGGCGGGATACTATCGGTATTTACAGAGGTATTTGGGTAGGTTGAAGACCCATCCAGGTATGGTCATTCAACAAATTACTAAAGTGCTCATTCCACCAGTGGAGTACCTTTTTTCTGTCATTTAGGATGATGTTGTTTTTATCTCTACAGGCAGTAGTTCTAGGCTGAAAATCTTTGTGGCCAAGATTAATTTCACGATAGAAAGCACGGCTTTCATTGGACCCCCTCAGATGTACAACATCCTTAAATAGGTTGTCATGAAGAAGTCTTTTCTTAAGCCTTTGGATCTTCTTCTCCTGTTTTCTAGATCTCTCATATTCCTCAACAGAGAATATTGAATGTTGCTTTTGGACCATATTTTTATAAGCAGCTCTTTTTGCCTGTGTTACAAGGAAGCATTCATTATCAAACCAATCCCTTGATTTGGGTTTTTCCATATATCGCAGTGTGTTGTCAGCTGAGTGCATGATCGAATCTTTGAGCAAGCTTCACTTATTTTCCATGGTTTCCAGCTCAATCATGTTTTTAGATCTTAGTTCTCCCCTGAGTGAGGACTGGAAATTTCGTTCAATTGCCTCAATTTTCAGCTTTTGACAATCAAACTTTTTCTGCCTTTCTCCCCGTATCTTTCAAGCATTTGAAATTTTAGCAATTAGTTTAGCAATAGCCAACAAGTGGTCGGAATCACAGGTGGTGCTTCGATAAGTTCTAACATCCTGGCTATCCGAAGAATACCTAGAATCAATGAGTACGTGATCAATTTGATTCCAGGTTTCTCCATGAGGTGAACGCCAAATCATCTCATGTATTCTCTTGTGGCTGAACATAGTGCTTGAAATTATCATGTTGTGTTCAGCAGCAAAAAGTACTAGTCGTTGTCCATTGTCATTAGTACTATCATGTAAGCCATGCTTTCCAATTGTTGGTCTAAATTCATCCTCTTTACCCAATTTAGCATTCATATCTTCCATGACAATTTTAATGTCATTCTTGGGACAAGATCTGTATAACATAGAAAGTTCCTCATAAAAAATTTCCTTCTCTTCCTCTTCCTTGTACTCTTTAGGTGCATGTCCATTGATAATACTTTAATAAAAAAACTTTCCCCTTAGCCGAATTTCGCAAAGTCGTGATGATTGAGGAACAAAATCAATCACTAAGTGTTTTAAACTTTTGTTCGATAAGAAACCAGTACCAAAAACATGTTTTTTTGCATCACAGCTATAGTAAACTGTGTGGTTTCTTTTTTCAATGGTACCTTCCTCAAGCCATCGCATTTCCTGAATGGCAAGTAGATCCATATTATATTTGTCAAATTCTTCTATAAGAAATTGCAGTCCCCCTACTGTAGTACAGTGTTCGGACATTCCAAGTTCCAAAAGGGAAAGTTCCTAGGCTATTTCCAAGTCGTTTTCCAGTAGAAGCAGTCCAGCTAATTCTATCTTTGGATTTCTTAACAGTGAGATTTTTTACAGGGTGGGGTAGTTAGCCCCACGCCCAACCCCCAACCTGGAGGATCAGTCCCCTGATATAATCCCCAGGGGCAGGGTGCCCGGCTATACCCCTAGACGCTGGGTACCCATTTTAGGCACCTTTTACGACATGCTTGAGCTACATTGTGACTATTCTTTCACACCCAATCACCACACAGGTGTGTAATTTTCTTATGCGCAACAAAAAATGAAATACTTTCTTTCATTAGAAAATTTGGCATTTACATACTTTCCCACTAAGCAAATAAGTTAGTGGCGATCGAATCAAAACTGCACCAATGATTTCGGTGGAAGTTTGAAGGATTTAAAATTTTATTTAGTAACTAATAAATATTTATTTAGATAATAATATACAGTTCTTCATTTAAATAGATAATCAACAGATACAAGTTATGAACATGGAATATAAAAGCTTCAATAATTACAAAGTGAAGTTTTGATATTATCTGACAAAGAAATTCATTAAAACTAATGCCAATCATTCCAACAGCCAAAAATTGCCAAAGGCATGCAAAAAAAAAAAAAAAAAAACCACCACCACCACCTGCCAAAAGTTTCATGAACTCAATGTCACATACATTCATTTAAATATGAATCCAAGTGGTATTAATGCTGTCTTTTATTGCTCCAATTTGATGAACTCATCAGTCTTCTATTGTTCTGAGTATGTGCTATAGTATAGTCAGTCCCATAGTTTTGAAAATAGGCCACAACTTGTTGTTCTGTAGAAGGCAAATAAATATTCTGATATTTTTTCCAAAATGCAAGACAAAAATTGTAGCTCATTTATAACTTCCTTTCAAAACCTAATTTGGCTGATTAAAGATCAGTGTCATACAAAATCAAAGCAAAGTTTTTATGAGTGTGTTGTGATATCACATTTATCCATAACGGATGATAGATTGCACTATTTCATGACACTGTTAAGATAGCAGACAGAAAAATATGTAAGTACGGAAAATTCATTATAAAAGCATTTCTTCTCTTCTTTCCTTTTATTATGATGCTTGGGATGGCTGTGAGAGTACATTCATAACAAGAAATCTCAACACTTCCATTATAGGCAGACAACCCTTGTGGTATCCATTACAATTAATTAATTAGATATTTAAATTATGAATTTTTGCTTCTCAAACTCAGCTCTTGTAGTAAATATGATTTAAATTTTAATTAATACCAAACAGCTCCCCTTTCAGGCTAAAAGTAACTATGAAAAATTCATCAACTTTAAAGCACCTCTTATTAAATGCACATTTAATCATAAAGTTTGAATTGTAAATTAAATTTTTATTGATCAATTAAATAACTATAATCTGTAATTCTCTTTTAACAAGCAAGTAAATATTTAGCTTGCAAAATAAAAAAGGTAAGAAAATTAATTATATCCTTACATTATCAGAATATCAATAAATAAAATTATTTCTTTTACAACAGATTTTATGTTTCCCAGAGAGTAATGACAAATCATTTAAAATTTTATTCAGACCAACATGTTACTTCTTTCTTAGGTTACAAGGTTTTATGCAAATACATACATGCATTTATATTAACATAGATACATACTTGTATAAATTTTCCAAGGTTTTCAGCTTATCTTCATACATTAGCTTCATTGTTTCAGAACTTTTAATTAACTGTTCTTTCTCAAGCATACTATTGTTTAACTGTTATCAAAGAAAAAGAAAAATGAAAAGTGAAGTTTTAATTGAAAATATTTTAAAATCAGTATACATTTTCTTGGAATAAAGGCACAGTATTGGACAATTGTTAATTACTTAACCTTTTCCCAAAATAAAATTCTTCAATTTAATCATTTTAATAAAGCATATTTTTTCAAATAAAAGATAGTAATAAAGCAATTTAAAGTGCAACAGTACTGTACTTTCTTGAAATGTATCTGAATTCAAAATAAAACAGATTTATATAATAATAACATTAATTGAAAAAATACAAAGGTAGAATTTTTTTAGCACTGCTAGACATAAAAGTTCTCAAAATTCAAGTATTAGGCCAACTAAAGGGATAAAAATATTGTAAAAAGTAAATCCAATTTTGGAAATTTAGCTGTTTAAATCTAATGTGTATCATTTTTAATGTATTGATATGAATTTTGTATACAAGCAAATAATGTTAGTGAAATTATAAGTGAAACTGTGATATCTTTTGCACAATGCAACATGAAATGCTTGAAAAAAAGTGAAGATCTGCTGGAAAAATAAGATTGTAGGGGCAAGCCCATTTAACACAAAGGTAAATGGCTATCTTGCTAAAGCAGCGAGAAATCACCAATCTGGCTATGGTTTGTTGACTAATTTTTGTTGCCATATTTAGAGACAAATCACCAAAAACTGCCAAGCTTGGTGACATTTTGTTCTAATCCCAATATAACTATGAGTGGTAATGTAACTGATCCATATATATAACTGTCTTCGGCCCTTATGTGTAACCATATATGGCTTCCAGCAATTTCAAGAAATGTAATGTACTACAGATTTCTCAGCGGCCAGGGGAAAACTATATGAGACTGCAGAGAACATCATTTCTCAGTACTTTTAGTTTAAAGCCAACTTCAGAGTATTGAGAGATCATGCTTCATTCTTTGTATGAGCTTTGCATTGTGTTGTGTTTAACATTGTTAGTAGTTTGAAATGCAACTACTGATTGTGCTCTGTTATATTGAGAAGATCTGTATGAATACTTTTGTGGAAAGTTCCAGAACTGTAAAGTGTTTTGTTTCGAAAAATAAACTTAAGCTATCATCAGTTCTGTGTGCATTCAATCCATTACAAACTCATATGCACATAACAGTATTTTTCTGAATTTATGATCCTATTTCAACAATTTGCTTACAACTAAAATATTCCCTGAATGTTTTGAGCGTGTCTAAACACTCAGTGACTTGGCCCAAATGTACTTGGAGTCAAAATTACAATACATTAATAATTTTAGCATTTGAATATAAAATCATAGATTTTTGTAACAAGAAGACTATAATGGAGGACAAAAATTCTATCTCATTAAAATGGCTGAAGAAAACTAAGAAAAGAAAGACAATACTGATACACAGTGGCTCCTAAAAGTATTCGTACACTTATGATTTTCATTGAAATAGGGCTGTATCCATTAATTAAAAGTAAACTTTCTGAATGAGATTTTAATAATATGATCTATAATCTATTCGTAACAAAATTACGTGAAATATTTTAAAAATATAGCAAGACTTTATTTTTAAGAAATTAATAATAAAAAAAATGACAAACATTTTATCTCACAAAAGTCTTCGTACACTTAAAAAAATCTTGACATATTAGTAAATATTTTCATTTTTCGTTAAATTGATATTTAGTAGGATATCCTTTAGCATCCATAACAGCTTTCAAACATCTGGGAATAGAATTTACTAGTTTTTTTTTTTTTTTTTGTAATTTCTGCATCAATGTTCATCCATTCTTCCATCATGGCTGTTTTGAGTTCTCTTTTCTTTTTGATGTCGTGTTTCCGTACTCTAACTTCCGGCTCTTTCCAAATGTGTTCTGTGAGGTTTAAATCTGGCGACTGAGGTGGTGTTTTCAAAACATGTGGACAATTATAGAGACACTGCAGGCGAACGTTGAGAACCATATACTTAGGATCGTTATCATGATTAAAAATAAAGTTGTTTCCAATACCCAAATTTTGGGCTGATAATTTTAAATTGTCTCTTAAAATATTTACATAAAGAGAATGATTCATTATGCTATCAATAAATACCAAATTACCTAGTCCTGATACTGTCATGTCCCCCCCACACACAAGAACACCTCCACCGCCATGCTTAACTGTTCCAACTAAGTTCTTAGAATGAAGTTCTTCATTTTTTCTTCTCCATAACATTTATTCGACCATCGGAAACCAAAAATGTTAAATTTGCTTTCATCAGCAAATAGTACATTATTCCAGTATGTTTCGGGTGTACTTATCATTGATTTTGAGAATGAAAGCCTATGCTTTCTGTTTTTCTCACTAACAAATTTTTTTTTACAGGCAGAACGCCCATGTAATCCAGCTTCTCTGAGAACTCATTGAACAGTTTAAGGTGAAATTGAAGTAGAAAACTTTGCATTAAATTTTGTAGAAACTTTTACAGCACTCAAACGTGGGTTTTTCACAGTTTTTCTAATAATAAATCTCTCATCACGTTTAGTTAACTTTCTTGGTCGACCTTTTCTTACCTTGTTTACAATCTGATTTTTTTCTTTAAAGCATTTTATTACATATTGCACTGTAGAATGGGATAAATTAACTAATTTAGTGATATTTCGAATTGATTTACCACTACTATGGTGAAAAATTATCAATTTTTGAATGTTGTTTGTAATTTCTTTACGACTGCGACCCATTTTTCAATAATAAATAGAATATTATTAAGTAAACAATAAAAAATTAAAGCAAACGATTTTTTAAATGCCATCACAATGCAAAAATTTAAAAAAGTGGCAAACAATAATTCTAATTTTGATTTTATCCAAAAATATTTCAGTGTACGAAGACTTTTGCGAGATGAAATGTTTATCATTTTTTGATTATTAATTTCTTAAAAATAAAGTTTCGCTATATTTTAAAAATATTCCATGTAATTTTATTACAAATAGATTATAGATTTTATTATTAAAATCTCATAGAAAGTTTACTTTTAATTAATGGATAGAGCCCTATTTCAATGAAAATCATAAATGTACGAACACTTTTGGGAGCCACTGTATATTCTTTGACATGATGAAAACTGCACATTGATAATTGATTCTCCAGTCACATAATCAATAGCACTTTTTTACAATACTTGAGATCGCTGTGAGAGGATATTCAACACAAAAAATTTCAACACCTCAATTCTAGGTGAATAGGAACTTTGCAATATCGTGACCTTCAATAAACTATGCTATAGCATTTTGATAAAACCTAAGATTACAGCGGTCTTCGATCTCTTTACTCAGAAGATTTTGGTTTGAAGGGTCATTTTTTATTTCTGAGATTAAGGTTCAAAGTGAAAGAATAATATCATAAAATCATGTAAACAGAAGACATTCAAGCCATTTCACAAAAGATGCTAGACATATTTTAATTAAAGGACTTCCAATTATGATGCAGGGTTGAGGAATAAAATACATAAAGAATAACTAGTTTCAAGAATGTAGAGATTCAGAATTTTGCTGGCCTTGCACAGTTTGGTTTTTTTATCAGCATGTTATAGTAAATAAGGAATAGTTAAACTTGTATTTTACCAAGAAATTATATGTTTACACATTAAATATTACTTTCATTTATCAAAATTTATAATAAAAAGATCCTTTTTACTACAATATCAGCCAGATCTTTACTCCTTAATCTGTCATAGTTTCAGAAACAGAATGCATTTCCTGAAAGCAAAATTATTGAAAAACACAGCTGAAAATCAAACTACTGTACAAATATCGATAGAATGAAAGAAAAAATTATATTAACCAACCAATCTGATATTAAGGATTAACTGATGCAAAAACATTTGGAGCAATCCTATTACATGGCCTTTGGTTGGAATTAAAAAAAAGATATTATAAACAAAATACCAGTGAACTCAAATTAGGCAAAACAACAACCTTATTTTTGCATAGATTTTGAGAGCAAACGGACATAGGTCCCTCTTCTTCAGAAACAAAAAAGAATTCTTTTTATAATTAACATTACATACATATTTCATCAATTACACATTCATAATGTCATAGAATTAATACATAATATTGTAAGGGAAAAAAATCATAAAATTAAGACTTTTCTGCTTTTTCACTACATACCATCATTTGCAAAGTATTCAAAGCATTTTTTTCAGCTTCTTGATAGGCCTGCTGAGTTACATAAATATTTTCACGTGGAGCTTCTTTTAACTGTGGAATAGTGAATACATTTACAGGATTTCTGGACCTTGAAGAAACAGCTTCAGATTTTCTCTGCTGCATTAGTTCAGATGGTATACTTTCAATGCCAGGATGCTTTGACTTAAAATTTAATGAATTAGGACCTTTTTCAAATGTAGATACAGTTTCTTGAGAAGTATCACCATCTGAAGTAATACCTAGAGTATTTAAATCAAAATCTTTTCTTGAATCAGATCTAAGTTTGGAAGAGCCAACTGATTGAGGTGCAATATTACGTTCATGTAAATGATCGTCATCAGGTTCTTTCAGTTTGGTATCAGAAAATAAACTGTTAAGTGCTTGATTAGATTTCAAAGTTTCCTTTCTGTCTTCACTTTTTTCCGTAGATCTTGGTCTACGTGGTTTTATCGGCTGATCTGACTTTAACCAATCAGCACCCTCTTCATTTGCCACATTTCTTTCCTCAGTTGGAATAGCATCATCTTTCATAGCAGTGTCAGATTCACTAAGTCCTAACCAATCAGCACTAGAACTTTTCTTTCTGTTCATCCTAGGCTGGCTCAAAGGCATTTGCTTTGAATTTGTTGCATTACTAGTCTTTTTTGTTTCAGGTTCAACAGGTTTATTTGATTTTTTAGGACTTTCTTTAAAAAATGTCAGCCAGTCCATATCATCTTTTGATGAACCCATTTTGCCTAGTCTCTTTGTTCGAGACGATGTTTCATTAGTACTTTTTTGCTGTTGAGATTTACTGGATTGAGGTATTTTGACTGGAGATATGCTTTCTTTTTCTTTTATGGGTGATTCAGGAGTATCTTTAAAACTAACTTGCTTTAACAAGCTTCCTCTTTTTTTCTGCACAGTTCGATTCAATTCATCAGATACAGATTCACTATAAAAATAGACAGAAAAATTTATAAATATGAGAATAATTTTTTTACTAAGTTTTGAAGAGCTTATAAATAGAAACACAAATGAAGAATACATGCACAATATACACAAGAATTATGCTAATTTGAGAGCAGACCCTGTCTCCAAAAAAGAGGTAATGCAAATGAAATTGCTGAAAATGTATTATATATTTGCTTTATTTCTCAAGTCCAACTTTTATTGTTTTATTTCTCTGATTCAACAAACTAATGTTATTTCTTCTTGTTTAAAACTTCTGTCTTAAAGCACCACCAATTTTGTACACCTTTGCCAAAGAAGCTTGCCATCTCACTATTAAGGGGAATTATCACAAAATTTGAATGAAATCATGTTACTATAGGCTCTTTGACCTTTCAAATTAAATCATTCATTTCAAAACTTCTTATACCGTTTACACACTGGAATTTCTGATATCAAAAAAGGATAAAGCATTGCTCTGTTTGTTGGAAAAACATATAAAATCACATTCATTCCATCATATAGCAAAGTCTTAATTATTGAAAAATGACCATAAAAGCTACGCAAGCTTTGTTCCTATCTTTTAAATTTATATCTGCCACAAGAAACAATCCAAAATACAGTACAAAGTCTGTAATCCAGACTCGGCAATTCCGGATTATAGATCATCAATTTAAATCTGGTGAGATGGCATGCAGAAATTATACAATTAAAAATATGAAACCGTAATTTATGAAATAAAGAGCAATTATAATCTAAAGGGTATCAAAATTTACAAAAAAAAAAAAAAAAAAAAAAAAAAAAAAAGCTTAGTATTTATTTGTTTACTTTATTAAACTTTTCTATTAATGTAAGTTGTTTAAGTTGCCTCATTTTTTGTGCTAATACTTTCTCTTTAATTCTATAAACAGGCATAATTTCTTGTTCAGTTACAAAGTTCCACTGTTCAAATCCTTTAATTGCTGTGCCGAGAATACCGACTAACTTGTCAATCGAAATTTTTTTGTTTTCAACAACGTTCTCTGTTACTTTCTTCACTATCGGAATCGCGCATGGGTAAACGCTTTACTGGCTTTCGTGCATGCGTAAGTTTGTCGCTTCAAGGTCCGGATTATAGATCATTCCGGATTACGGACCTTTGCCAAAGAAGCTTGCCATCTCACTATTAAGGGGAATTATTGCAAAATTTGAATGAAATCATGTTACTATAGGCTCTTTTCCTTGACCTTTCAAATTAAATCATTCATTTCAAAACTTCTTATACCGTTTACACACTGGAATTTCTGATATCAAAAAAGAATAAAGCATTGCTCTGTTTGTTGGAGAAACGTATAAAATCACATTCCTTCCTTCATATAGCAAAGTCTAATTATTGAAAAACAACCATAAAAGCTATGCAAGCTCTGTTCCTATCTTCCAAATTTATATCTGCCACAAGAAACAATCCAAAATATTTTATTGCAGAATACTGTACATGGCCACAGATGGTACATTGGGAAAGCAGAAAACATGGCTTAACATAAAAAATACATCTAATTTTCCAACTTAAATTTTGATTTTAAAAGTTTTTACTATTATTATTATTTTGACATGCTGCCTTAATGAGGGCATATTTACATCCAGTAAATTGTAAAATATATGAAAATATTTATAAACATCTGAAGAAGAGACCAAAATGAGTGTATTGGGAACAGTTTCACTACTCTAACCACAATATTCCTTTCCCAGAACATTAATCTTGATGCAAAACAAAATCATAGGAAGTGTCATTGCCATAAAATTTAATAAATATGAGAATATCAACAGAATACTGAAGAATCTTTCAGCTCTAAAATCGGTTTACCAAAAGGGTGGAAAGATAATACAGATAAAAATAACAGAATGACCATTCCTATACTTAAAAGGTATGTGAATCCCCTAAGAAACATACAAGGTATGACAAAAAAAAAAAAAAAAAAGACTAAGTGTGTAACTTGAAAACAAAGTGGAGTTGCCAACAACTGTTTTAATGACATTATGCAACACACCTCCTCAATCCATGCATCCAATTTTGACTTAACCAACCACACCAATAGGTAGTACTGTGTCATTGCGTGAACACGTGCAACTGCATTCATGCATTCACCCGGAAAAATGTTTAATGTAAAAACCAAATCGCTAATCAACATTAAATTTCTTGTGAAACTTAAGAAATTAGCCATGGAGGAAACATTTCAAATGTTAACTGAGGCTTATGGAGATGAAACTTTGTCTCATGCACATGTGCTTGAATACCATTAACGATTTTCAGGGGAAAGGGACAGTGTGGAAGATGATGAACGTGCTGGATGCCCAGCATGTTCATCATCTTCCACACTGTTCACACACACACACAATATTGAATGGGTTCTCAGCAATCAAACTGTTAACCCTCTCACTGCACACTTTTTTTTTTTTTTTTTTTTTATCAAAATAGGTTCAAAAATTGTGTCTTTTTTTTATTATATATTTCAACTCAACATATATTTTAAAGCTAAAATATACAAAAAATTTTTGTAAAAGAGTTTTTTTTTTTTAAATATAGAATTAGATCATAGAAAAAGGTTGTCAGAATACTGAAATTAAACAATAATGATATAAAAGGACAATTTTGAAAATTAATATTGGTTAAATTATGATTTATTTTATAAATATAAAGGTAAAACATATATACTAACAAAAATATTTGCATAATGTAATATTTTGCATATTAATTTTGTACCACTGTCGAGCGTTTTCAATAGAAACTGAATTTTCGGATTCATTACTATCTGCAGAGGAATCCGAGAAATTCTCATCAGTTTCGCTATAACTACCTTCAATATTCTTGAAATCACAGTCAGAACTACTCTCAGTGTCGAAAATATCGAATATAGGTTATATCATTCACGAAACGCTTCCTGCCAGGCATCTTTGAGCTCTGAAAAGTGTGCGCAAAATGCTACATAACGTATTCTTGTATATATTTGCCAGAAATGTGGACAACTAAAACCATCTGTTAGCCTACATCTAAATAAACAATTAAACATCACAAAAAAGCCGAAAGGAAACCTTGAATGGCAAAAGAGCGAGTTGCACAGTTAAATAGACGGCAAAAATTCATCCCCGTGGAAATCGCGGGTTGCACAAATTTTGCTACTTTACGTTGCCCGTGGAAATCGCGGGATGCGCAGCGAGAGGGTTAATCAGTACCACTACACTAAAGTACTAAAAAGACTTAAAAAATTAGGGGGAAAAAGGCCACAGTTGTGGAGTGATGGATGGCTGTCGCATCAAGACAATGCACCCGTTCACACGGCCCTATCTGTCAAGCAGTTTCTGACCAGCAAAATCATTACTGTAATGGAGCATCTTCCTTATTCACCTGATTTGACTCCATGCGACTTTATTTCCTAAAGTTAAATCATGCTTAAATGCAAGCCATTTCACCTCAGTTGAAGAGATTCAGGCAAAAACAGAAAATCTCCTCAAGGGCCTTCCAAAAACCTCATTCCGGAGCAGTTACCAGCAATGGCAGCACCAAATGCAGAAGTGTGTGAATGCTGAAGAGAACTTCATTGAAGGTGATAATGTCACAAAGAACTGATTCTGTAAGTACAATGATTTATTGGATCAGTCTTGTATTTTTGTGTCACATCTTGTACAATTTGTTACTAAACTGTACTTCATTTCATAATATATGGAAAATGGAGCCTCCATAAATTTCAAGAATTTGCTTCCATTTAAAAGATATCAATTAGACAACAAAGACTTAAGAATTTTCAAAAAAATCACCAATTTGGTGACATTTTGCCTCATGCTCACCAAATTTCCAAATAGAATATTTCAGCTTCTCATGCAGCTATTTAAATTAACAGCTAAGTTAATAAAATTTCTTTCACTACAATATGCTACAAAAATTACACACAATATATATATATGCACACACACAAAGTTACACAAATATTTATGTAAATATATAACATTATATTCTTTACATTTTAAACTTTTTTCATATAAAATTAAAGTTTTATGGGATGATACTTAATTTAAATTGTCCAAAGAAATTTTTCCTCATAAATTTAAATTACTTTTTCTTTGGTGCAGTAGGAGTGTAATTTCCAAGAATATCTTCTTCATCTTCTGGAGCTAAAATTGAACAAAACATTCCTATGTATTTCAAAAAGATAAAAGTTATAATATTCAGTTAAAATATATAACTTCCACAGTTCACCAATTATGTTTTGTAAAGTAGTATATTTATATCCATCTTCATGTTCTTTTAGCTAGTTTTTAACATTTATACACTCAAGAGCCAAAACATTATGACCAGCCTTACATTTTGCGATGAACGCGCCTGGATGATGTGGAAGGCACGTGATCTGGTGGAAGTGGTATTTAACTGCTGCTGGGAGTCTGAAAAATCATTCTTTCACTTACTTCTGTGTGTGATGGGAAAGGCTGCGGATCTAAGTGACTTTGATAGAGGGCAGATTGTAATGGCTCGAAGGCTCGGAACAAGTATTTCTGAAACTGCACGACTCATGGGTTGTTCGCGATCTACAGTTGTTAGTACGTATGAAAAGTGGATGAATGACGGTGAAACCAGCAGTAGATGACATGGTGTTGGACGTCCACACGCTATCAAAGAAAAAGGTCGTCGGAGACTGTCTCGCATGGTGAAACAAAACCGGAGCCAGACTGTGGCTCAGCTGACAGCCGAATACAACGCAGGGCCAAGTAGAAAAGTTCAGAGCACACTGTTCAGCGGACATTGTTGGATATGGGGCTATGCAGCAAACGTCCCAATCGTGTGCCTTTGCTGACCAAGCGTCATTGCCAACTGCGCCTGCGCTGGGCTTGGGAACATCGTTGACGGGTCCATGGATCAGTGGGAGAGAATTGCCTGGTCAGATGAATCATGGTTTGTCATTCATCATGCTGATGGCCGTGTCAGGATACGCCGTCTTCCAGGTGAACAGTTGCTCCCTCTGCACAGTAGGTCATACACAGGCTGGTGGTGGCGGTTTTATGCTCTGGGGGACGTTCTCTTGAGGATCTCTGGTACCGTGGTTGTGGTAGAGCAGAACATGAATGCTACAGGGTATCTGAACATCATTGCGAACCAGTTGCACCCTTACATGGCCTCTGTTTTTCCAGCTGGAAATGGAATGTTCCAACAGGACAACGCCCGTGTCACAAGGCTACAATTGTGTTGGAGTGGTTCTAGGAACATGATGCTGACTTCCAGTTAATGTCCTGGCCACCTAACTCACTGGATCTCAATCCGATAGAACACATTTGGGATGTCATGGGACGGCAGCTCAGAGGTCAAAGACCACCAATTCACAATATCTCGGGATTTGCGTGACCATTGCTACAACATCTGGTACAATCTGTCTCCGGCCATCTATCAAGGACTTGTGGCATCCATGTCAAGGCGGGTTGAAGCTGTGTTGCGCGCCAAAGGTGGCCCAACTCGTTATTGACAGGTAATCATAATGTTTTGGCTCTTGAGTGTATTTAATAATAAGATAATTTCATTTTGCAAATACTGAACTACAAATCAAATGCCTATGTTTAATTTTATATAAAAATACTAAGCTACAATTTAAATGTCAGTCTTTTCTATACACTAATTTTGTAGTAAATATAAAAATTTCAAATTAAAACTAAATATTAATCTATTTCAAGGGAAAAATTTGTAGATGCCTTGGTGACAGAAAACAGTGCTGGCATAATTTGAGTTTAAAAAAGTGCGATTTGTTGCCAAATGTTGTAAACACCTACAAAAACGAAATTGACTGCGGTAAAAGATAAATCAACAAATCATTCAATATCTATAACACAAGCTATTTAATACATATATATATATATATAAATTTAATATAAATTTGTATTTATTATAGTATTTAAGACAATTTTGTTGGCAATTTATTTGAAATAATAACATAATTCAATGATATTTAATACAATTATACATACTTTTTAATACATAGTGTATGTATATATATATACGGGAAAATGGATTTTTTTAAGACTCTTTCTGATGGCCACAGGTTAATATTTGCTGCTAATAATGCCGCAAACAATCAGCTATAGCTTCTTTTTTCATTGATAAATGGTTGAAAATAATAAACATATTGAGTATTTTACAATGAAAACTACTACAATGATATAATGCAATTAAAAAAAACTGTTAATCATTTGTTTCTTGCACCAGTGCAGATCATTAACGGTTTATTTCTTACACGCATGTAGATCGGTTGCCATTAGTTTTTGTCAGTGGAGTTCTTGCAAATACACTCTTTTGCTAAGGTCATCACAGAAGACAACGAGAAAGTTGTGAAACTCTCGGATTCCATTCCCCAAAGGATACTTCAAAAATATGAAGGTGCTAGCATAAAATTTTTCTGCAATTATTTGTGATCAAAGTCTTCAATATTTTCAAGTATTCCTTGATCCTATTTATGATTATTCATGAGGCTGATAATATTAAGGACACGCATTCCAAAATGCAGATCAACAACAATAACAACTGCTGTACATTATTAATATATATAAATATTAAATAGCATCCAGATCGGTATAGTGGTTACTGATGCCTGATGTATTGTTATGCCCGGTTTCGAATCCTGGAGAAGGCTTGAATGTTTATAAGCATGTAGTGTTTTTGTACAATGAAAATACACAGTGAGTTAAAAGGTTTGATGGTAGAGTGAAGGGTATCAGAAATATAACCTTGGATATATCGTCCTGAGAAAATTTCCCAAGGCCCAAGCTAGTGACAGATGCAATTTTGTGCTCCTCTCCATGATAAATTCATGGACTTTTCCTGATCTTATTGTCAAACAATGAAGATATATTACAACATGCATATTAAATGGCAAGAAATATATTAATATGTATTGAATTCACTACATGAAATTTCACATTTTAATTACAGTCTAATGCAAAAATACAACAAGAATCAATTTTAATTCTTATAGTGATATTATGTGGAGGGTTCAGAACAAAAGGAGCACAGTCCTTCTTTCCCCGAGTATGAAATTAAGTACGCTCAGTGGGGGGGGGGAAGGGAATACTTCTATATTTTCCATTCTACTTGACTGATTGACAAAAATCAACTTGCATTTTTCTTGTTTTGAAAGTGACTTCAGATATATATTATGTTTGTATACAGTGTTGTTGAACCTTCTTCTGAAATGACATACTAATTTTTTCCATATTCCTATTCTATGATTCAAATTATGCCTAAAATCAAATTTTGTAAAATCTGGTATGAAATTTAAGCGGCAATTCAGAAATTTAGCTTAGTGCACTTTTTTTTCAATTTGCAACAAGAATAAATCATTTGGTGAATTTCTCAGTTTATGGCAACATATTTCAATTTTCCTTTCATTCTGCATGAGCAGAGAAAAAGTAAGGATTTTTCTTCCTAACATATATTTTTATTTCGTATTATATTTTTTAATCCAAGTTGCTATTTTAAATATTTTTTCTTTTTTATAATTTCATTTAATTGAGTTGCATGGTTGAATAATAGTTCTTCAAATAGTTGGTTTAAAAATTTACATTCATACACTTGTACTATTCTGTAATTTAAGCATGTCTATTCAAATACTTTTTTTAATTATATTTAATTAAGTAACATTTCTTTCAAAAGAATACTTTATTACCCACTACTCATCACACTGTATACTGACTTCTGCATTAAAAGAGAAATACCATACAGTTAAGCACAGTTAATAAATCTTTCAATGATCGCTAAGAGAAGATATATAAATGAGTACAAGTTGTATTATCTATATTTTAAATTAGAGTGATACGTATGCAAACAGTGCCCATGGTTTTATCAATGTGCTATTGCTTTATACAATTTTATCATCCTACATTTAGTATGTTAAAATATTATCCATATTTTTTGAATAATTTCCAATTTTTACAAAACTTGGCACTTTGGCATAATTTGAGACATAGGACAGAAATGAGGGAAAAAATTGTGTCATTTTAGGAAAAGTCTGATTTTGTGTTAAAATAACTATGATAGAACAATTCTATAATAAATCTAATGTATATTCTAAGTCCCACCTTCGAGACATAAAAAACACAAGTTGACTTCCATCAATTGGCCCAGTCGAATGGAAAATATACAGCTGTCCCATTTTTTTCACTCACCATACATATTTGATAATCTAAAACAGTGAAAGGAAACATTTTGGGCTTGGCATATAGTCCTAGCTAACTCTTTTACCATGTCACATATATAATCATATGTCTGCCATCCGTATCATCCATCTGCCAAAATTGCACCTAAAATAATGACATGTTGATAATGACAAGACCATTACAAAAGACAAATAGTTTGGTACTATTTTTTTTTTTTTTTTTTTTTTTTTTTTTTTTTTTCCATCAACGGCTCTGGAAGTGTTTGATGTGTCACCCAAAATGGATTCATAAGTTTGCCATCACTGGCCTAAAATAACAAGCATTCAAAGTTTTAAGTAATTAATAGCCACATTTACAAATTATGTCAATTCTGTACTTGCAGATTAACCAGTACCTGCTGATACACCATCAACAAGCTACTGGCATGTTTTGATGATGAAATACAATTTGGACATCAGCAAATTGGTGAAACATGTCTTTATGATTTCTCATAGGTACTGTTTGGAAATTGCATCAGGTTGTTATTATTATTACTATTATTTGCAGCTTGTCTCTGGCTCTCATTTAGTATATGAATTCTACTAAATAAGAAGTTAAGTAACTTCCCATGAACCACTTTACAGTTCTTTTTTTCTTCTCCTTCATGCTTTGTCAGCTGTTATTGACATCACATTATCATTGTATTTTTTCTGTCAAGTACAGTTTTACTGCCTAAGAATTAAGTACTTAATGAATGTTTGGCAAAATACTACATTCTTAGAAATAATTATTGTTTCTGATTCATTTCTCAGCAATATGTGTAACTGCATAGCAGATAATACACAAGTGCCATAAAATATTCTGCCTTTAACTTGAATGGTGAAAGTAATAGCTTCCATTTACAAAAAATATTACAAATGAAACCTATTATTTTCATATTTTCACCCATAATGTCAATCTTCATTTCAAATCTCTAAGTAAAATAATATGAGATTTATTTTACACCCCATTTGAAAACTGAAAGAGAAAGATATATATACGAGAAAAGAGAAGTAAGCTACAGATATTGAAAAATAAACATTTTTCAAGAGAAGAAAAACTAAGGGAATGAATAGGTGCATACACGAGTAAAATTTGGAGCAAAAAGATTTTAATTGGAAAAAAAAAAAAAAAAAAAAAAAAAAAAAAAACAGTATCTCATATGTGCAAGACAAAATAGAAAGGGCTGAAATCTCAAGCAATTGCATCATCTGCAAAAACATTATTAATAATTCATGCATATCACATAAAACGCAAAACAGAAACTGTAAAAAACAAATCTCTTCTTAACAGGATACAGTTCAGGATCATGATTAGAAAGTGGAAAAATATAAATTTATGACTTTCAGGTATACCTTCTTTCATTATGTAGATTTTGATTTTATTGTACTCGCCAGTCATACAAAAGAACATATTTATTCATCATATAGCAGTTGCAGGATACAGAAAGAAAGTTCTTTTCCTAATATCGGCAACCCAGAGGAAAGAATTTTTGTTGACAAAGAAAATGTTATTCAATACATTTGTTAGAAAATTATTGCCAAACATCAATTTACAATGGATGAAAATTAGATGAATGTGATTTTACAGAAAAATAAGCATGTGAAATTCATGAAGCAGATACCCATAAGCTCAAGCTAAACAGACTTCTTCAAACACTTTAGTACGTCATTTTTCAGACAATGTGCTTGAAATACTTAAATATATTTTGACCTTTAAAGCATTCATATTATAAATTTTTTTAGCATATTCTGCTTATCTCTTATAAAGTCCACAACATCAGATGTCTTATAAGAAAAATGATGAGCATTTTTTTTTCCTTCTTTCTTTCTTTTTTTTTTTTTCTTTTTCTTTTCCTTTTTTCCTTTTTTTCCTTTTTTTTTTTTTTTTTTCATAATTTATTTCAAGCTGAATAATGCATTATATTACAGTAATGCTTAAAATATTTAGCACACAAACTACACAATTAATACTTTTTCTTCTGCTACTCCAATTTCCATTATTTTGCCTTCACAACAGAAAGTTGTTCTTAGGGATTTAATAGATTAGAGTTTCTGTTATCATATGCAAGACTAATAAAATTGTTTTGCACCTTTAATATGTTTTAAAGAAAGAATTTTTTTTTAGAACCCTCCAGTTAAAATTAGATCTAAATTTCTTATACATTAAGTGATTTTAATGAACTACAATGTAATGAAAATAGATGGATAAAATAAAATTTGAGCAAAAATTAAACACACATTTTGATCTCAGGTTTTAATTAAAAAAGAAACACATAAAAAAGGGAAAGTGACTTACTCTCCTCTTTATCATCAGTTATTTTCTCTTTAGATGCAATAACAGTAGGTTTTTTTGCTTCATGCTTTGGAGATAATTTTTTAAGAAATTCATCAAGAAAAGAACTACTACCCTTTTTCTCAGAAGTATGGCTTACTTCCTCATCTTCATCTAATCCTAAAGTTTTTAAAATATCATCATCATCTTCTTCCTCTTCATCATCATCTGATAAAACTTCATCATCAGCTGGGATTTTTGATTCTAATAAATTATCACTTGACTGATTTTCTGATACTGCAGATTTTAGAGTTAAATCATCAAGAAATTCGCTTTCATTGCTTCCAGAATCATTCTGTTTATTAGATTTAATTGGAGAGGAAGTTTTTGCTGCTTTAAAAAATGCAGCATGCACTCTACTTTTATCTGATAAGAAATCGCTTAAAACATCCTGATCCGCTGAAGCATCTTTGGGCACTTTCTTATTTAAAGCATGGCTTGGTGAACTGCTACTAAATGGACTTTTTTCAATTTCCTTATTTATAATATCTGCATTATCCTTCGAAATTGTTTCATGTTTAGGAGAGTCTTTAGTTTTTTTTGCCGATAAACCAGGTGCTGGAAAAATTGAAAAACAGACCAAATTAGCTGAGCATAATCAGAATTCGAATTTAATAAATTTATGAACTGAATATATATGTGAAATATTTTAGTGTTTTCGAATAGATGATGACCTTCACTTCTAAAAAGTCTTGTATTTTAAAAGGTATTTTACATTATTATAAAAATGGTTTGTTTAAAAAATAGATCAAAGTGCATATATCTGTATGCTGACACTCTATATAACAATTAAATTATCAAATATAATAGTTTGATATACACCTGCTTAGTTAAGGGAACTGAGGGGCTAAAGGTGTTAAATTTTTTTTCTGTAATGCAAATAAGAAACATGAATGGAATTTGATGGTTTTCAAGAATGGGTTAAAAGCTGGACAGAAAAGTAATGTCAAAGAACAGGACAAATATCTATTTTATAACTTCTTGATAATTATACTGCAATTCCAGGAGCTGCTAGAAAAATTTTTAAAAACTGAACTTCTTACCCCAAAGATTCCCTCAGTTTTATAATCTGTGGATAAAGGAATAACCCAGACATTCAAAAGATATTGCAGAAGCTGAATGATAAATAAAATTTCAATCGAATTATAAACTAAAAATTCATGACATTAAATATGCTAACTACTGTCCACTTAGTGAAAACTGTTCGGGGTGAAATTTTCACTCAACAGTTTGCATGGAATTTCATCATGCAGTATTTAGCTTTAAAAAATCTTTTTCAAGAATATAATGATACTGATTTGTCTCACATTTGATACATAAAATGTATCAAATGGGATTGATATATTTTATGTATCAAATGGGATTGATACATTTTATGTATCAAATGTGAGTAGTAAATGAAGTCATCTCTTCATTTCTTAATCATATTGAAAATTGAATCCCCCCTTTCCAAGTATTAGCAAAATACATGACTATTTTGAAAATATTTTCATCACTAATGATTATGTTGTGAATGATGAAATTATTCAATATACAGAAAACTGATGATATACTTTCAAATTCAATAACTTATTAATAAATCAATAAGGGTGATTTTTCCTCTAAAGATGTGAACGAAAATCTATTGTATGTATAAATAAAAATTGTAAAAAATACAACTAAAGTGTTGCAAAACTTCTTTCATAAAGAAGAAAAGCCAAGCAAACAATTTTCTTGAATAAACACTTTAGAAAATGGTCAAACATTTAAAACATCACCTAGCATAAAGGATTTTGTTTGAAAGATTCTCTTCTGTTTGGTAAGTTATCAGCCATTCTTTTATTTATTTTTTCTCCTTTTTTTTCCATCTCTCTCTCTCTCTCTCTCTTTTTTTTTTTTTTTCTTTTCTATCTTTCTTTTTTAATGGATTAAAAGAATATAATAGGAAGTTTCTAAGTATGAAACAAAACAAAATAAAAACTGCTTAATTTATTTGCTTATTTATGCTACACATAAATATATTAAATCAATAATGCCTAGGGTGTTTAATATTTTAATGAAATGAATATCATACTGATAAATAATTTCTGTTGTTTAATTTTGAGTAGCATTCTGTAGAATAGCTGTTCAATATATTATCTTTTTCTGAGAGTCCTTAGATAGCTGTAACACAAGTTGATAATACTATCAAATTCTGTTATATTTGTCATACAGACTTTTATTTTACCCATTGTATACAGCAGTTTTATGCGGATTGGAAAACCGGTTTGAAAAAAAATTATTTTCCATTAGTTTTGGTATGCCTCAAATATAGATGAGTTCTTATATTGGCAATGTCCATCATTAACAAATATTTGTATCAGAACAAAGAGAATTTGACATTCATCACTCCACATAAAATGCCCCTATAATTTCAATACTTCTTTCTTTATTTAAGTAAATAAAATACATAACACTAATAAATATATAAAAAGTAATAGCAAACTGAGTAATAGCAAAACTACTCTTAGACTGCAGAACTGATCAGTCTGGAAATCATGAAGTTAAAATTCGTGTGAAGATCCTGACATATTTTCAAAAGATGCAGGAGGCAAAAAATAATTTGGAGACAGAAGTACCCTGATTGTACCCATGCATAGTATAACTCTACCTTGTGGTAATTTCATATCATCTATTTAAAACACATTCACTGATAAGCCTGTTTTCTAAAATCAATAAATGATTTCAATTACTGCTTATATTACTTCATTTTTTAACTGTATAATACCTAATATAAGAAAAAAGAAACACAAAAATAAATTAACTTGTCATCTCCCCATGATCACTCATGTTTCAAATATGCAATTTAAACCCCATTATCTTTCAAATAATAGTTAACACATTGACTGCTATTTTAATTTTTAAAAAATGTGGTATGGAAACTAACACATAAAATTAAATCATTAAAGTTTAGAGAACTATTGATATCATCTCTGATTAACCATAAAACACCAAAAAGCAGTAAAGAATTGAAACAAACTAAATATCATTGCTCAAAGAGCATATCTCCACAGAAAAAAACAGTGAACAATGATTGCCTATCATGTTTCCATCACCGAAAGGAGATGTTAAGAAACATGACATTTTTACCCAGCATGGGAAGAGAAGTCTCCTTTATATGTAGAACAATACTTTAAAGCTTATTATAATTAAGTCTTGCTCTTAAGGTGGTGTTTATTTTCACTTTTTACATTTTGAATACCATGTATAAAAATTAATTCTTTTTGTGATACCTTTTATTAATGGACTTTTATTGGATACACACCCCAAAAAATGCCCGTGCATTTACTATTATATAAATAAATTGAATTATAGCTTCATCACAGGGATAACAAGCGTTTATTAGGAGAATGTAAAAGATAAGCACTCGTGCAACAGTGATCAACATTACTACGACTAATATAACTGAAGTTCTACAGTGGGCAGATTGCCCAGAAACATAGATTAAGACATTTAATACTTTGAGAGGCGAACACAAGCTAATAAAGAAAAAGAAATCACATTAATCATTGCATCTCGAGATACTTGGAGGTATAAAATAACAACACCCCTCCTCAATGATTAATCCTTAATAAAACAAAATTACTGATCTTAAGATGTATAAAAAACAATAAATCTATATATAACATGAAATTACACCTTTAACATTACCAGGTTTTGCCTAAAAGTTTTAAGTTTGTTTTTCCCAGATGCAGTTTAAGAATCTTGGTTAATTTCAAATATCTGAAGAGCCTTTTGACTTTAATCCAATTGGCTTCTGTTAATTTTGACGCTTTCTAGACTAAAATGGAAACAGCAACTGTCATGTCTGGTCTAGTATTGACTGCTAGGTACAGTAAGGATCCTATTGCACTTTTATATTCCTAAACTTTACTGTACGCTTTTGCACCTTTCCTTTGCTTATAATATCCTGGATCAATAGGAAATGTAGATGTTTTACAGTCGTTCATGTGATACTGTTTCAGCTTTCTCGAAATGTAGCTTGATTGGACTAGGCAGAAGATTCCCTCATTGTCACGTTGAAAATGCATGTCTAAATAGATATGAAGAATTCCCAAGTTTTTCACTGAGAAATGTTCACCAATTTCACTTTCAAAATTTTCAAGTGAATCCTCTGTGCTTACTGCAACGACCATATCATCCACATGCACAGTGATGTATACAAACCCTTCTTTATCCTGTCTTGTATATAAACAAGGGTCATTTTGACTTTGTTCAAATTCTTAGCTTAAGAGAATTTCATTAAGTTTTCTGTTGCATTCATTTGCCCCTTGCTTGAGTCCATATAAGTTCTTTACAAGTTTACAAACTTTGCCACCTTCTTCAAATCCGGAAATAGGGTTTGGTAAAGCTCGATGATTTGAAGCTCGGTTAAGCTCAAGCTCAAGCTCGATTGTTTTTTTGGGCTTTCAAGCATTTGAAATTGACATATTTACATTATCAAAAAACTAATAATAAACTTATAATTAAAATAATATTTTTTAGAAATTTAAAGGAAACTTTTTCTTTACTTATACAGTTATTTATGCTTTTATATTAATGAAAAAAATATTTTAAAAACACCAGTGCATGTAGTGATTTATCCGATAGCTCCGACCTAATTTTGGTGCAAAAATTTTTGGCCACGGAAAATGCCCTTTCAGAATCAATCGACATTGGTTTTATACTGTAAATAGCTTCAAGAACCACTTTAAATTTACAGTCAATTCACCATTACTTTTTGACAAAGCAAATTTTTGAGTTAATTTTTTTAAAGCGGTCACCTTCCAGTAGTTTGGTGGTTGGAGCTTCTAATAGTACTCTAAAGTTGTTCTTCAAGAGAAACACCAACTTTGGTAGTTGTTTCTGCTTCGCTGCTTGATTTTTCATTTGATGAATCTGGTGACAGAAATAAATGCTTCATCAAAGCAGCTGCTAGTTCTATAGAAGCTTTTGATGGCATTTTATTTAAGTTGTTTAGTGAATTCATTAAATCTATGATGTTTTTGTTGATCCTGCTATTGATGTAAAAATCGATATTTTCAGAAAGAGAACTATTTATTTCAGATTCTTGCTCAGTTAACACTTCTCTGGCATAAAGTTGATAGAAATATATGCTGTTCATAAAGTGGCTTGTTTTTCACCCACTTCAATTGGTTTTAACGTCAAGGCTATCGATTTTATTAATTCCAGGTTTAAATTTGTTAAACAACATTCAGATCCAAGTTCAAATTCCTTTGTAACGTCATACAATTTTACAAATGTTTGAAGCATTTTCAGCATTGAATTCCATCTGGTTTTACAATCCAGAGAGAGTTGTCGCTCTATCTGTAATTTTTCTCTACATTTAGACTTGAACAAATCTGAACGCAAAACAGAATTTTTGAGAAAAATTACAACTTGTCTCACAATATTTGTTTTCCTTGAATGATTCATTCTGTAATTCAGTTTCATTAATGCTCAAACCATTATCAACATCATCAAAATCATCAGTCTCTCCTGAACTTTTGTCTATACTTTCTTCTGTCTCTGATTTTTCATTATAAAAAGTTTTTGAAACA